TGGTGGGGGAGTTGACCGCTGCTGGTCCGGTCATCGTTATCGCTTCCTCCTTCACTAATGTTGCCTACGAGAGACTCCCACTAGAGGAAGAGGAGCCGGAAGGTGGTGGGCTTCAGATGCAACAACCGTCATCTCAAACAGATGGTGGCGGCGGTGGAGGGATAAATAGCAACAACCCGTTTCCCGACCCATCTTCCGGGCTACCATTCTTCAACTTACCACTAAGTATGCCACCGAATGTTCAGTTACCGGTGGATGGATGGGCAGCAGGCGGAGGAGGAGGAGGTAACTCAGCTGGACGTTCTAATAACAACAATCCATTCTAATATGGAATCGGGCCACAGGTATCCCTAATTTGTTTGGATCGGGTTAATTAGATAGCTTCTTTTGGATCATAAACAATGTTCAGCAAAAATCACTGCATCAAACTACTACTTTCTTCTCTTGTTATCTTTTGGGGGTTTTTTCTTTTTTCTTAATTTCCTGGGATTTTTGTAACTTAATATGTTCTATGAAAATAGTTTCTTAATTTGTTCTCTCTCTCTCTCTCTCTCTCTCTCTCTCTCTCTCTCTCTCTCTCTCTCTCTCTCTCTCTCTCTCTCTCTCCTAATTGTTCTTCAAGGCATCATATTTACGATTTGGGATTTTAAGGATTACTGTATCATTGCTGCTTATAATGACACTAAGAGTTGATGTTTCCTTAGAATCAAGCATTAATGATAGAACTTAAGGTTTTTGGGTAGTGGGATGTTTTGTTATTGCTGCATTGTTTTCAGTAAGAACAGTAAATACAGCCACAGAAATTGACGGAAACATAAAACTGTAAATTAATCAGCAAAAATTTGAGATGTTTTATGATATTTTAACAAATTGCTTCCTCCTCACAAAATTGACGACTTTTTTTCTTTCTAAGAATACAAAGCAAAAGTCTCATTTATTTTTAGATACGTAACGTTACAATTGTGCTTGCTTGATTCGTAGAAAATTTTTCTAAGGAACCCATGCAAATATGTTTTGGATCACTCTAGCTAATGTTTGTGTTTTTTCTTAAAAAAGACACGACATAATTAGTAAAGATGTAATTAGGCAATTAAATCCATCGAAAAATGTTTAAGGTTTTTCTTAGACACCAACCTAACGTATCATTGCACTAAATTTTATTAAATTGTTTTAGAAAATCGTTGTATTTATTAATTAGGATGGAGTTTGTTAATTCGATTTAATTCGAATAATTTTCACGTGGGTATGGATGAGAGTAACCGAGTCTTGGAATTAAATACAGTACTCAAGGATGCATTGACATCATGTAATTAAGGGAAAGATTTACTTGGAGTTAGCAGTGATTATTCTTACTGTTTGAGTTGGTTTTTATCGCTCAACGTAGTGTAAGCAGTATGCACCATTTTCAATCTTTTTTTGTATATTTAAATGCACACCTCCCTCGAAGTTTTTTGGAAATGGAAATCTTTTTCTGAAAACCATGTCATATTCTCTCTCTCTCTCTCTCTCTCTCTCTCTCTCTCTCTCTCTCTCTCTCTCTCTCTCTCTCTCTCTCTCTCTCTCTCTCTCTCTCTCTCACACAGACACACACACAAGCTACCATTTCGATTTCAGCCATGGAATAGTTTCCATGCAGTGAGATATATAGAAAGTCTATTCGTGGGCTCCAAATCCCGACCTAAAAATGTCCGCTTAATCAAGGTTACCAAAATTAGTTCACTTTTAGCAGGTGTTGGTATTTATGGTGCTGTTTGATTCTCAATGTATGTCTGTTTTTATGACGAACCTTATGCAGTTTTCAGACTAAATTAAATAATCTCTCCCATGTGGGTAACATATGATGAGTTAATTAAAGTCATATAGTTTAATTAGACCATGATGCACATGTTCATTTATGGACTACTTGATGATGTTTAAGTACTGCTAAGAATTCCCGTGAATTAAACTTAATATCTGACAAACACTCCACACGAATTCATTACGGAAACGATGGATAAGCATTGTGTCGAAATTAGTTCTTTTTAGAATTTTATACATCGGCTAGGGTTTAGTTGTTTGAAATATTACAAGGAACAACTGCCATTTAATTTTCTGTTGAACTTTCATATCTCTTGTATAACAAGTTAAAATCATTAAGGAACTTGAATAATCAGTACAATTAATTTAAAGCTTCTTAGATTTGCATCTGAGTACTACGTACAGAAACGACTCTTTCACTCTCTAGTAGATAAGAAAACACTAATGATATGATACTAGTTGTTCTTCATGAAAAAATCTACTGGTTCAATCTCAGAATGCTTTATTCTCCACTACGTTTTATATTACAACGATGTACTACAAATTGATTTACATCCGTTGATCGGATGTATATAATCACCACCCTTGAAATAAACAAGCAACAAGTTCCCTTATCGATTGATTGTTCACACTAAAGGGTTCTTCGCTGATCAAGGCCTAGTTTCTTGTAGTGCTTAGAAAACATCTCCATGGCTACCACCAACAAGTTTCTTAGTGATGATCACTTGGAAGTCAAGCACTTCAAAAGGAGTTGGTATGGGTACAATTGTCGGAATCCCAAAGGCAATAACTTTAAAGTGACATGTATTTGTACCCTGTGATTAGCTAGGCTGGTGATTGAGGTGCGTATTTTCCATAGAGGAGCTTAGGGTTGAAAACTTGACACAGCTAAATATCCCATTTAAGTCTGCCTTGAAAAGGGTTTATGTGGGCTGCTCATATGGTATCAGTTTACGGTTTTTTTAAGGTGGCAGGCGGTTGATCTAATAAAAAGAATCCCCTTTAACTTTAGATGAGGGCTGTGGTATCTTTAGCTTAATTAAGTTTTGTGGTGCACCACATGGTAGTTGTTTAAGACTCTCGAACTAAAAAAGAAATCTTGATATCTTTGTGATCGATGAGTTTGACTTGCTTTTAGGGTTAACGAGAATAAATTTCGATGAAGTGGGATATAGTTAGCTTTGAGCCTTGGGAAAAAGTAGAAGCGTTCCTTTATATTTTTATTTAATTAATAATTATATTCACAGTTTGTTTGGGATATAATTAAGTGCTAATTTATCGTATAAAGTATAAATTATTCAAAAGCCATAGCCTACAATCTGGCAATGAAGTGGCATTTGCAAGAGAGGTTACGAGAACATGATTCCTTGAATTAAAGGGGTGGTTGCTGCAAAGCTACCAACTCATTTTGGGATATAATTTAACCTCTTACATTCCTTTATCATTTTTAATTAATTAATTAGGGTTTGACCAATACAAAACGATGATCAATTCATGTCGAAAGTCTAGTAATTAAATTAAATGATACGAACGACAGCGCACTTTGGTATTAATTGTTTGATAGGTCTGACATGCTTTAGCCATCACTATATAGATACGCAAACGTACACATGTTTAAAAATTTAGAAATCATACGTTTGATGCCAAATGTTGCAAAATCAACGATTGTCGATTGTTAGGAAAGCCATGCTTTAATAATAATAATAATTCCTTAATAATGAAAGCTAAATAATTATTCTAGGCACATCATTGACATTTTGCATGAAAATGATTGATATATACATATGGTATGGTTTCACCTTTATTTTTTTTATTTTTTTATTTATTTGTTTATCATATATATCATAGGCCTGACAATCGTATCGTGTTCGGGTTGGTAGATTACGGGTCGCGGGTTGGCGTGTCGAAATACACCAATTCAAATACAACTCATTTAATTATACAGGTCACGGGTTGACGGGTCGTGGGTTAGTGAGTTTGAAACCTAAACTCATATATAACCCGTCAACCCATTTATTTATACAGGTTCACAAGTTGGCGGGTTTGTGGGTTGGATTTGGGTTCATAAGTTCGTGAGTTAGGTTCTATAAATAAAATTGATAACTAAACATGAATAAATTCTGATACAAACATATTCGAATTTTAGAAACTTAAGTTTTAAACATTCAAATGAAAATTATAAACATTCATGGAAACATGTTCAAACTAAAACATTAATATAAACATACATAAATTCAATCGCATGCATTGACGTCGTTCGATAATGATTCAATCGTTCATGTTGTTGTTTTTGTGGGATATTTAGACTATTTAGAGCAAACACCAAACACGTTGTAATGGAAATTAGCAGATGGTTACTCACGGGTCAAATGGTCAATGATATTGGGTATCATATCCTAGTATAAAATATAAAATGTATAGTGTATAATACTTAATAAATTTAAAATATATATATATATTATATATATATATATATATATATATATATATATATTAAAATTCTAAATAGGTAGGCAGGTCAACCCATATATTTTTTTTAAGAAACTCATATATGACTTGTTTAATAAATAGGTTGATGGGTTGGCGGGTTGACGGGTTGAAAAACTCAACTCAAATCCGTTTATTTTGTGTCATGTCGCAGGTGGTGTCGTGGGTCTTGTCGAGAAATGTTGGGCCTAATATATCATCCCGACAAACCAATACATGAGAATTCACTAATAAAGTTAATTTCTTTATTTACTGTAACACTCATAAAAATCATGTCAAATTTAAACTTTAAAAAACATTTCAAAACCATTAATCATTACAAAACTTGTTTTTAAAATAGTAAATATTAGAGTATCCCATAAACAAGGTCATAAATGTGAGGAGTTGTACGATCATGCCTTTGCCTTCCCACGATCATCTGGTGTACCTGAAACAAAAACTGAAATTGTAAGCCCAAAGCTTAGTGAGTTCCTCCAAAACACTCATACACACAATAATACACATATAATCACAAGCAACAACTATGGGTCCAGTCAACCATCGGGTTGGAATACCCAAGTCCCTCTACCATCCGGTTGGAATGCCAACATACTATGGATCCAATAATCCTCGAGATGGAATACCCTAGGCCCACAACCAACAGGTTGGAATGCCC